GACACAGCACAGTGAAATTGGATTCACATGTAATGCTTGAAAACATGTCAGCAAAAATAAATTAAGTGAAATTCTACATGACTTCATAAGAGTTGGAAATGAACAAATTACACCCGACCCTACCACTCCACACACAATGTAAACTACACCCCAAAACATCCTTTCACCCACGGTTACTACCGTGTTTCACCAGTGTATTCTATTTTGCTTCAGGAGAAATTGAAATAAACAAATTAATTATAATTTCAGCCTCTAGTTGAGGACTGATTAAATAAACTACCTTGTCTTTATATCAACTTGAAGTTATTCATTGCCTACATCAGTGACTTCAAAATATATGTTTCAATCCCAGGAATTTCACTCGCTGTTAATTGCATGGGAGTGCCAGTCTTTCATGAATTTCTATTGTCATGTCAATTTCTTGCGATTACTCGGAACATGAAGCTGTAACCACAGACCGTCTAGGTGCTGTAACTAAATCCTGGTATAAGCACCGGTTAGGCAGTCTTGAACTATGCATGTGAAGCCACCTGAGAGGTATATTCAATCCTATCGATTTTTCATTGTTTGGTAACTATTTGCTGCAAATGCAACAACAAACAATATAAAAATATTACCCACACATCATTCTACAGGTTACTTGTGTTATTTAGACTTTATCCTTGTCTTCCATATTAACTGAGTATACTGCAACGCTGTTTAATAACATTTACATTATATATATATACTTTTTAACGTTATTACCAACAATGCTGAATATGTGATTAAAAAAGTCGCTCACTGATCAGCACTATCTCGATCGCTCCCTCAGTTCTATTTCTGTGTAATTATATGTCACGATCTAGACTTATATTTTGAAACCCGTTTTTCACCCCGGGGAATTAAAATAGTTCCATTTTAATGTCAAATGATTGTAATTGTGAAAACGTAATCAAAGTTATGTTAGAAGATTTGTACTGAATTAACTACTATTATTTATAAAACTAAAAATACACAGCAAAAGCAATATGGGAATGATTAATGATAATTAAAGGCTATTAAAATAAATTGCCTTGGATTCATATAATTTTTACGAAATGTACAAAAATAAATGTTAATTATAAATAACTCATATTATGTATTCAAACAGCACAATCATTAAGTTAAACAAAATAGCTGTTAAAATGTTATTTTGCAACGGAATGAATAAAAATAACATATCAAACCTTTGATCTGTAGACAAAAGTCGTATAGAGACATTTACAAGTCCCCGAACACAAAACACAAAACGATTGACAAAACGATCCACATGAGCAAAACATACCCAAGGATCGGGTATAGCAGATGAATTTGGAAATATATACCACATAGATCGAAGAGAGTGAAATATTGTTGTAAATAAAAATTCTAATTTCAGCAGTCAAATAAATACATTCGAGCAAAAAATTTCGATTGTTGAACGTGATAATAATGAAATGTATTTGTTTTAATTAATTCCAGGATTTATTGCCTTTCATAGAAATCTTGCATAATCAGAGATCGGCTTTGTTGCCAATACGTTCTAAAACCCGCGTGGCCAAAGCCATTCCGTGTTCGCTGTTCCCTGTTTCGTCGGGTGTAATCATGTTAAAAAATATGAATTCTTGAAAATAACTAACTGCGTTGAGCAATAACAATATATCAAAGTAATGTGTCAACATGTTCATATCTATATGTATAAATTATCAGGGCCAATTGCACAATAATGTAAAATAACCGGGAAAAAACAAAACCATTACTAGCAAAAGATGATCGGTGGAAACCCCAATGCTGTTTATCATGGAGCGTCTCTCGCCTATTTTTGGTCTGTGTCTTAAAACTAACACATGAGTAGTATGGGGCCGGTCGCTGACGCAATGTGAATATTTTACGTGTTTATTTCGTGTCGTGGAAGCACCCTACAATGTATTATGTGTATTTGTGTGTGTGTGTGTACATAAAAGAATATATTTTAGACGGGAATCATACAATTGTTACGTTCTCGGAACATATATCTGCGTTTCTGCGACCTTAAAAATTGTTGTCCATATGCTATTATAATTATAATTTTGCATTTCCAATCATGATTTTTGAATAGGTTTCGAATACCAATGGGAGATATTCTCCTTGGCTGATGTCCATATAATACAAAGGACTTTTAATCGTGGTTGGATTGAATCCTTCTTTGGCTAAATCGGACTTCTTGTACTTGTAACTTCCGGTAATTGCTAGCGATGGTTCGATTCTGAGGAACAATGGACACGCGTACTTCGGCAGATAAGTAGTAAGGTACTTATAAAACCCTTTGCAGTCCAGCTCGGAGTCGGGCTTAAGCACAATAGCTGCCATACCAGCTCTTCCGTCGTGTCCTGTTGAAAATGATTTAAAGAGTAAATGTAATAATAACAGTAGTCTTTATGCATCTATTTTGATAAATATGACAGGATAATTTATTAAGAAACATGAAATTACCTTTCTTTGCTGTTATGGCTTTATATATATAAATTCAATTTTGAAAGACAATACTCAACGAAATTAACAACGTATAAAACCCCAAATATATGCACAAGTGTTAATAGCATAATGTATACAAAGAATTGCGGTAAGACATTGACATATCAAATAGTAGATAATTAACAATCATATAAATTAATGCATTACAAGGCATGGCCAAATCTATTAAAGAATGGTAGATGTAATCCGAGGCATACAACCATGTGATAATCTCAATTGCTTTATAAAAGAGTTAGCACGCCTTGTTCCACGTGTAGCACACGTTACACAACACCAGGCCCGTAGTTTGGAGGGGGGTTCGGGGGGTTCGGGACGAACCCCTTAAATTTTGGAAGTGAATAGATTTATGATCTTAGATTAGAACATAATAAACCAAACAGTATTAATTAAAATAATTATCATTGTTTAAATCACTTGACTCCGTGAGGTAACTATCAGAGTAATGTAATGAGTAATGCATATAATGAGCATTT